CTCCGCAAGCCCTGGATCTCCCTTGAAGCCTCCTGTGTTGTGTCCCCCTTAGAAATAGTATTCCTGTCCTCTGGCCCCAATTCTCTCAGAGGCCCTGTCTTTCCCCGGTTCCCAGCACACACCTGCACGCACACATGCGTGCACACATATACACATGTTGCCCAAATAGACCCCCCTCCCCTCCCAGCCTCCAGCCTCCCTCCCACAGGCCCTGCTGACAGAGGCAGCATCCCCGCGGCTCCCCAGGCCCTGCTCGGCTGCGGGAAGACGCGCACCCAGGTGACGGAGTAGGAGCCCCGCAGGCAGACCCTGGACAGGCAGCGAGGCTGCGGTGGGGGCGGGGGCCGCTGGACAGACAGATGACCGGACAGACTCACCGGGGTGGGCCGGGGAGGCCAGGCAGCCGGAGGCGGAGACAGCCGCAAGAAGGATGAGAGCGCCGGGAGCAGGCATCTTGTCGAGGATGGAAGGGAGGTGAAGGTGGTGGCGGCTGGGGAGGAGGGGGGGGCGGGCCCTCAGCCCCCAGCCATGGGGACCCGCGCGACCCTGGCCTCCTCCCGGCCCAGGAGAGGGGCAGGAGACGCAGGACAGGGGGAGGGAGGGGCTGCTAACTGGTTCAGGTACCCCCCTCCCCCTCTTTGAAGGGACAGACAGATGAAGGGATGGAGAGGCGGACAGAAGAGAGGAGCTGGGGAGCTGGGGTTGCTGGGGTGGGGGGGGGAGAGGGTAGAAGGGGGGGCAAAAAAGAGGGCCCCGCCCCCAAGGGCGGCCGGGATTGGGGGAGCAGAGAGCCTGTCAGAGGAAGGGTGGGAGGAGGAAGGATGGAGGGAGGATGGAGTGTCGTCATGGCAACTGGCTCCCCCGTAGCATTGGCTGCCAGGAGGGAGGGGAAGGGAGGGGAGGGGGAGGAACAGACAGGGACGGGTACACACTGGGGGGGGCGGGGTTAGGGCACACGGTGTCTGCCCTGGACACCGCTGCGACATGCCACCCGCATGGACACGTGTGCTACATGCTAGATGCAGATGTCAGCACACGCAGTCCACACACAGCTCACACACGTCGCAGGGACCCTCATAGACAAGCACATAACATACAAAGGTGGACAGCCATCAGCAGACGGGGACACGTACACGTCACACACAAAGACGCAGGGACGCAGCACTGGAAACGCTCAGGCAGGTCGGCTAGCAGCAGATGCACTCGGCCACGCAGGAACGTCAAAACATCACAAAGACCCATACACGCTAGAGACAAGGTAAAGCCCCAAATCCATAGGCACACAGACCACAGGCTCAGATCTACGCGGACACCCTGGTGTCATACCGAGATGTGTAGTCAAGAACACAGCCCATACATAGACAAATGGTCAACAAAGACACAAGTGTCACATACATGCACATCACATAGATATGCCGAGACATCATTTGCACAGAGACACACATCACATACACCAATATACAGACACAACAGATCTGTAGACACAGGCACATCACATACACAAATACATAGAAACACGCATAAATCTCACATGCATAAGGGCAGAAAATATATCACTCAGACACACACTTTACCCATGTAGATACATTCCATGCACATGGGAACACATGAGTCATACATACAGTGCTACACAAATCATGTGCAAAAACACACATAAATACATCACACACTGATATACACATACACATATCACATACAGATATACAGTCACACTCGTATACAAGAATATACACACAACACCGACACAGTCACACAAATCAAATACACAGACACACAAAGATATACACATCACAAATATATACACGTTTCACACAAGTTTACAAAGATATATAACCCCACCATAGTCAGACATCACATACATAAACACACACAGGCACATATAACACACAAAGATTCAGACACACACTACACACACAAAGACACACACAGACCCACGCATCACAAACACCCACATTTCTTGTGAGGTTACACAGACATTACACAATCACAAGCACTTGCCTCATACAAAAGATACATAATCATAGTTTATTTAATTTATTTATTCTTATGAGTATTTACTTTGTGCCAATCATCGTTCTCAACGCTTTACACGTACAATGTTACCTTTTAATACTCACAACAGCCCTCTGAGACAGACTTTTTATCATGCCCTTTGTACACATGAGGCAACTGAGGCACAGAGAGGGGCAGTCACCTGCCCCAAGGCACACAGCTGGGAAGTGGCAGAGCCGGGACTGGAACTTGGTCAGTCAGCGACACCGACACATTAGACAAGGACACACATACATCACGTGCCAGGCCGCCGCGGTCTTGGGGTCACATCCCACCCTACAGCGCCCCGAGCTGCAGACACACCCGGCAGCGCGGACTCCCACCCTCGACGCTGACGCCTCCATCGCGCGTGAGCACCTGCGATGCTTCCCCCCGGGTGAGGCTGGGCCGGAGCTGCGCACCCCAGACGCAGCCTCAGCAACACACGGCGCAGGCGGCCCAGACACCCCCGCCCCAGCGTGGTTCCCCACCCCCAGCAGGAGCCCAAAGCTTTCCACTAAAACGCGCAGCCGTGGCGCACTCGGGACTGGCAGTTCGCAAACCCCCGCAGAGTGCAGTACTCCTCATCTGGGGGCCTCCTGGGGAGGGAAAGGGGCTTCCTCTGCGGATGCCCCACTGGAGAAACTGAGGCAGATTCATCTCGGGAGGGAGGGGGTGTTCGGCCTTGGCTGCAAGGTGAAGGAAATGGAATTCGTAGGGGAGCGCGGGGCTGAGGAAAGATGCAATTCGCTACCCTCGTGGCTGAAGGGCACAGAACTTGAAAGAAGCATAGACTTATGGGAGGTGTAGTTCCAGCCTTGAGACTTGTGGGAAATGTAGTCCCGATTCATTCAGCAAGGAGGCTTGGGCTGCTATCCACCAGACAAGCAGTGGCCGGGAGGCCAGTGCCTTTGAAAATGATGTGGCCAAAATTATTGAGTTCTGCCTTTGGAAATGACGTGCACAGAAGTATTGACTACTAGGAAGCAGCAGTGATAACGTTGCAGCCCCAGCTCTGTCCCTAGCTCACTATGTGTTCATTTATTCACTCAACAAATTTATTAAGTGCCTACTGTATGATCAGCCAGGCCTTGCACCAGAAGCTGGGGGAGCAGCAAGAAACAAGTCAGGCATATTCCCCGTCCTTCAGGGAGTCATAGGGGCTCAAGGAGAGCAGCCACCAGTGAAGCAATTACAAATCAGCACTGGTTTTGAAATCGCCAAGTACTTCAGAGTCAGGCAGTGAGGGGTGAACTCTGTCTTGGCGTAACAGAGGGTCCCCTGGAGTTTTTCAAACTGTGAATGCTGAGCCATTAGTGGGTTCGTGCCATCCGTAGCAAACGAGCATTTTCCCCTCCAAAATGAAATACAATAAACTAGAACAAACAGAACTCATGGGCGGCGCCTGGGGCTCACTGGGTAGGGTGTCAGCCCCATATACCGAGGGTGGCGGGTTCAAACCCAGCCCCAGCCAAATTGCAACAAAAAAATAGCCGAGTGTTGTGGCGGGCGCCTGTAGTCCCAGCTACTAGGGAGGCTGAGGCAAGAGAATCGCCTAAGC